GGGAAGAACCCCACAGACACCCCCACACAGGGGAGAGGGGAGAACTCCAGAGAGCCCCAGGCACCCCCTGCGGACGAGGGCCCCCTAGCCACCCCCCCAGGGACTCCACACGGGCCCCCCAGGCACCACCCCACCGAGGGGCAGGCGCGTGCGCACGCTCACCCCCCTGCACGGGCACACACGTGCACGCCCCCGCAGTGCTGCAGACAGACAGACGGACAAACGGAGCCTGCAGCCAGGTGTGAGGCAGTTTTATTCCCCCATGGCTCCACCTCAGCCAGCCGCCACCGTCTCCTTGACCCAGCCCAGGACATGCTGCACATCCACGTATACGCCATACTTGGAGGACGTGCAGGTCTTGTCGTAGCTGAGGATGCCGGCCACGTACCAGGTGTTGTCATCAGGGTCCTGCACAGCAAAGGCGCCGCCGGCATCCCCATAGCACGTATCCTCCCGCAGCTCGCTCATGCCCACACAGAAGGTGTCATTGCTGAGGATGGGCTGGACCCAGTAGGACGCATTCCGTGCCTCATAGTACTGCCTGCACTTCTCGCTCTCTGCCACCGGCAGCATCACGTACTTCAGCATGTTGGGAAAGGCAAAGGTGGCGCCACGGCCCCAGCCCGAGACGTAACCCACCCGCCCCGGGTGCACATAGTCCTTCTGGGGCAGGCAGATGGGCATCACCTCTTCTCCGAGGAGCACCTTCTGCTTGAGCTTCAGCAGGGCCAGATCCACAGCCTCCGGGTAGCTGGGGTGCAGCACCACGCGCTCAATGCCCAAGGCAGGCTGCTCCCGGCTGCCCAGGAAGAGCTGCAGTGTAGGGGCAATCTCCTCTGGCTTGGTGTTCTCACTGTGGTTCAGGTAGACGTTCCTGCCCGTGGTCAGCAGCCACTGGTCACCAATGAGCGTGGCCCCCACGGTGAGGTTGTGGCGGGTCACCAGCCGGCCCTGCCAAGGGAAGCTGCCCTTCCCAGCCAGCAGGCCCCCGATGATGCGCTGCAACTGCCTGGGGGGGTTCTTTGGCTTCCCGCACACTGCATAGGGCAGAGCAGGGCCCTGGTGAGCCTTCTGAGGCCGGCAGGCACTGGATGCCTCCTGGCCCACAGCAGCCCCAGGGAGCAGCCCCTGCAGCCCTTCGGCTGCCCAGACGGACCATTCACAACCGCCCACCCACTCTGCCCCTCGCAGCCCCAGCCCCTGCTGCTCTGCTCTCACCTGGCTCGCAGACAGGCACCTCCTTGCCAGCTTCAGAGCTCACCCACACGTGATCCTCGTCACACTTGTATGTGCCTTTGGAGGGAAACCAGAGTCAGCACCCCTGCCCTGCAAGGCGGGGGAAGGGCCACGCAGCCAGCGAGGTGCGGAGTTACTTGTGCCTCCCCAGGGCTCGCACCCCCCAGGAAGGGCGGGCAGGGGGAGGGGGCTGCATCATCCGGCATTGGGGCAGCCCCATGCATCCCCTGGAGCCGGGGACAAGCCCCGTCCCTGATTGCTGTGCCCATGCCATGTTCCTCACCATCACCAGAGCCACGCAGCTGGTAGTACGGGTTGCAGCGGTACTTGATCAGGTGCTCCACGTAGCCATGTTCAATCTCCGCAGGCTTTGCACAGCTCCACTCTGCAGGCAGAGGATGCTCAGCTGGCCCAGAGGACCCAGCCCAGGACATAACCCCCACCTCTGGCAGGTCCCTCCCCAATTCCTTCTTCCCTGCCAAGCTGCCCCTGCCTTCATCCGAGCCCCAGTGCTCCCACCCTTGCCCTGGAAGGTACCCGTGGCAGTTGCAGTCTCCAGCACAGTCCAGGCCAGGCCAGCAATCAGCAGCACTGCAGGTCTGTAGGGAAGAGAGGGCACACTCAGCAGAGGGCTCCTACCCCCCTGCTCCCAGTCTGTGGACTCCACCAGGACCAATGCCCTGTCCCGAGGGCTCCCTCCCCAGGAGGGCAGAGGGCTGACCCCGCACCCCTGGGACTGCCCATCAGACACAGCCTGGAGAAGTCACGTGGGCCAGACCTGGACCCTGCTGCTGTAGAGGACGAGGCTGCAGTGTTGGGACTCAGAGCGCTTCCAGGCCCAACGTGGGTCCTGCCACAGCCCACAGCAGGGCCAGGTCCTCAGCCAGGCAAGCAGGACAGACACAGCACCAAGCATGCGCAGGGACACATCAACGTTGCTCACCCCATGCTCACAGCTCCCTCTCCTCACAGCAGCCTCCTTCTGCAGGTCAATGCTGTTCAGGGCTCCCTCCTCATGTCTTTTATTGCCACCTCCCTCGCCCTGGTGCAGCCCCATGTGGTCCAGACCTCCTGACCCCACTGCATGCAGCCAGCACCTTTCCCAGCAGGAGAAGCACAAAAAGCCTCACCCGGCTCACAGCTGGCCTGGCAGAGGCTCCCAGGAAGCCTGCCAAGTCCCCATGGGAAGCCAGTGTGCCAAGAGTTTCCGGGATTTTGCAGCTACAAATATGCAGGGAGGGACCTGGCTGCAGATACTGGTGCCCTGACGCTGTGACACCAGCTGAGGTTCACAGAAAGCAGAGCCAGCCCCTGCCCCCTGAAAAACTGCCCTGTGCCACCACCTAGAGCAGTCTTTGTGGGGGCACCCGGCAGCCCCACAGGGTGCAGGCAACCGCCCCAGTGCTGGCGGGTGAAGCCGGGGCACAGGAGCCGAGTGCCATCCCATCCTGTGCCTGGCTCTGCCTACAGCCAGGGTGCACCCTGCCAGCCACCCCGCAAAGCTGGGGTGCAGCGGGGCTCGGTGCCGCCAGTGCCCTGGGCAGCACCAGCCTGGCTGGTCGAGGGGTGCAGCATGTCCCATGCCTGCAGTGAGCAGGGACTGCGGCCAAGCCAACCTCTTCCCACAAGCAGCCACCCCTTCCCGCCCAGTGTGCTCCAGCCCCACGTCCTGGCAGCCCCTGGCCCCTCGGGTGCAGGTTGTTTGTCAGCAGAGGCAAGGGCCTGGCCCAGCCTTACGGGAACTCGTAGCAGCAATCGCTGGCCAGTGCCCAGCTGGATGTGGTCAGCCAGCAGCAAAGGCACAGGGCAGAGCACATCAGCCTGCTCCAACGAGCAGAGTCTGCTTCCAGCAGGAGCACAACCAAGGGGCAGCACGGAGGGGAGGGGACAGGCACCCACCATCTTACCTATCCCAGGGTGCCACTGTTGCAGTGAGGCCACCCCAAAACTATCTGGAGCATGTGGGGCCAGCCCCAGCCCTGAGCTATTGAAGCCTCGCCTGCTGGGGGTCTCACCAGCGCCCCTCCTGCCCCTCGGACGCTCCAGTCCTTCAGGCTCACGAGGGACATCTGTGTCTGGTCCCAGACACTCCAGAAGAGGGCTTTCCCATCCTGTGCAAGCTTCTTCCCATCTCATGGGGCGCCTGTCCCCCTAAATAATGCAGGGCTTGAGATCTCTGGCCCAGCACCAGTCATACTCATGCAACCACACTTGAAACACAGAAGGCTAGAGTCCAGCACAGGACACATCAGGGCTTGACAGCTTGATCCATGAACATCGAACAGATGTGATCCATGAACAGATCCACGCTCACAAGTCTATGGGGCCGGATGGGATCCACCCGAGAGTGCTGAGGGAGCTGGCGGAGGTGCTCGCAAAGCCACTCTCCATCATTTATCAGCAGTCCTGGTTAACGGGGGAGGTCCCAGATGACTGGAGGCTTGCCAATGTGACGCCCATCTACAAGAAGGGCCGGAAGGAGAATCTGGGGAACTACAGGCCTGTCAGCCTGACCTCGGTGCCGGGGAAGATAATGGAGCGGTTCATCTTGAGGGCGCTCACAAGGCGTGAGCGGGACAACCAGGGGATC